ATACTGAGGCAGCAAGTTAAATTCCTCGGGGGGCACTGGGCACTGGCTAATTCGACTGAAAGAAATTCAATACTGGAAGCAGGAAGTTATACCAACAATGATGGATTTTATAGTTAAAATTACAGAAATAGCTGGATAATCCGACATTGAGGATTCAAGGGAGAGAGGATGATGATTTCGAGAACATTTGGGCGAAATTTTACAAATGGCTAGAGAAAAAAGTATAGATGTCTTTACGTTGGTTTAAGGCATGTATGTCTGGAGCAGATCTAAAATGCATTCGATGTGGAATCCGTATGCGTCTGTCGTTGGTCATGATAACAATAAATTCTGATTGCAAAAAAAAGGGGGGGGAAAGAAAGTAATTTAAAGACTGGCTTCTTGGTGCTCTCGGGGGTGGCCGCCGTGCCCTCCGCATGGCCATCAGCTCTGCCCACCTTCCGCTTGGGCACCCTGTGCCTCCACCCTCGTGCTCCCCTCCACCACCACCCCAGCTGCCGGCCTGCCCGCTCACCTTCCCCCAGTGCGGAAAAGACGCTCTGGAGGTTGTTGCCGGGGTGGGGAGAGAAGGTACCCGCTTCCCCCAGCTTGGGAAGGGAGGAGTTGGCTGGCTGCCGTGGAAACTAGGCTGGGAGGGGGCTCATAAGAACATAAGAGATGCCAATGTTGGATCAGGCCAAAGGTCCATCCAGTCCGGTGTGAATCTTCCGTTCCCATGGACACCTCTTGATTTGCAGATCTGGTTCCTGCTCCAAAGCCATAAACGCTATTGTCTTTAGATCTCCAAACCAGATTAAGGGAGTAGGGTCACTTGCTCTTTCCATTCCAAGAATGCCGGGGTTCGCTGGGGATTTTCCATAGCTCTCCAAGTGGGTGCAATGGCGCGGTGTCTTCTCCATCCCACAGAGTCATGGGATACATTCCAGGGACGCACATGGTCCGTATGTGCAACGGCAGGCCCAGGCCAGCCTATTTCTAGGCAAGCATGAGATGCAGAACAAAGCAACACACAACATACAGCAATCCCTGAATACATATTGCATAGGTATTCATGCTAGAGACACACATAAGCAGCATCACCACTATACAGAAATACAAACATAAGCTCATATAGTTACACTTATCCTGTCTGTTTTAAGACTAGACAATTAAGAAAGCAAGTTCTGAGAGGCTGACCAAAACACTTCACACAAGCCCCGTCTCAGAGATTCAGGGGGTGCCTTGGGTGTGCCCACCTTGCACGGGGCCAGTGACATGAAACCAGGGCCGGCTCACTCACTAGGCGATTGCCTAGAGCAGGCCGGCCCTTAGGGGCGCCAAACTGCACCCGGCCCTGTACTCTGGGAGTTTCTTATTTGTGTTTTTCATTCTTCTTAAAATGCATTTATTTTTTGAAAATTGGTGGGCACACGGGGGGTGGGGGTGCCAGAAGGGATCCTCACCTAGGATGCAAAATAAGCTGGGGCCAGCCCTGCCTGAAACCCACCTGATCAAACCTCGCCTGAGCTTTGCAGGGAGGGCCTGCCCCCGTGTCTCCTCCGGAGGAGGGCCCTCGGGACGGGAGAGGGAGGAGATAGCTGGGAAAGGAAGACTTTTGGGACGTCTCTGGCAAAGGTGGAGACTGAAGCCACTGCCAGGCCTGCACAGGTCTCTGCACATGCTCAGAGAGACTCTTTCCTTCTATTCAAAAGAGGGCAGGCGAGAGCTAATATCACTCCTTGGGAGGCAGGGTTGCCAGCTCTGGGTGGGGAAATAGTTGGAGGTTGGGGGGGGGGGCGGACCTTCAATCTTTCCCAGCATCAGGGTCTTCTCCTCCAGTGAGTGCTCCCTTCTCATTTGGTGGCCAAAGTCTTTGAGCTTCAGTTTCATTATCTGGCCTTCCAGGGAACAGTCAGGGTTGATTTCTTTTAGGATTGACTGATTTGATATCCTTGCAGTCCAGGGGACTCTCAAGAGTCTTCTCCAGCACCATAGTTCAAAAGAATCTATTCTTCGGCGCTCGGCCTTCCTTATAGTCCAGCTCTCGCAGCCATACATGACTACTGGGAATACCGTTGCTTTGACCTTGCGGACTTTTGTTGGCAGGGTGATGTCTCTACTTTGTATTATGCTGTCTAGGTTTGCCATCGCTTTCCACCTACACGTGCCACCTTGCAAATGGGGGAGATTGGCAATTGCCCATACTCATGGTCTTCTCTGTTGTGACTCCCGCCTTGGGCCTGACGGATGAGGTCATGGAGGCTCCCACCACCCGGCTCTCTGCTAACTACACAAAACGGAGTTATTCCGGAGGGGAGGCGACAGGACTGTACTGCAATGGATTCTCTTTACAGAAAGACATTTTGGCAAAGGGATGGAGAAACTGTGGTCTGCACTGCACTGCGACATACAGTCTGTTGCCGTGAGCATGAACCTAGGATGTAGTTCCTGCAGTGTTTAACGTGTCATGCTATCACTTATAATTGTTTTATTTATATCGTAAGCCTCCTTGAGTTCTGTAAGGGAGAAAGAAAGGTGTCCAATAATTGCTTTAAATAAATAAATTGTGCTTTGTTTCAGATTTCTCTTTCAGAGAAAGAAAGGTGTCCAATAAGTGATTTAAATAAATAAATTGTGCTTTGTTTCAGATTTCTCTTTCAGAGAAAGAAAGGTGTCCAATAAGTGCTTTAAATAAATAAATTGTGCTTTGTTTCAGATTTCTGCAGTCCAAGTCCTCTTGCAGGGTCCCATCCTGCTGCCTGCATTCGGCTTTGCGCCGTGGGTCTCACTGAGAAAGATAAATAATGTCAACGAAATAGATTAAAAAATATATCGGTGGCACCTCACACTGGATCCCCCGATGATCTCTCCCGGTGGTTTCATGTAGGTGTTAATCCGCATGGGGATGGGGGAGGGAAAGGGACCTTGCGGGAACCCGCGACACAAATCCGGTAGAGCTGCGCAGCGGTCCCACAGCACCACCTTCGGGAACTGGCCGTACCTTGCTGGGTTCTGGGGTCTGCTGCACTTCTGCCTATCAGTGTGGAAAGGGGGGGGGGGCACCAAGACGGGCCCCGCTGAGCCTTCGCCCGCCCCTGCCCACGTCTGCCACGGACCTGCACGTTGCCCCGACCCCCCTCTCCCCAGGAATCCCCCCCCCCCCCCCCCCCCCCCCTCAGGCTGGCTGCTCACACCAGCGCGGGGCTTGAACTAACACAGTTCAGATGTTACTCCCGCGGCCGCTCTGGCCCCGACGCCTCCGCGCCCGGGCTCGCCTCCCGCGCCGCTGATTGGCTGGCGACCCGGAGCGGCGCCGCTGATTGGCTGGCGGCCCGGAGCGGCGCCACTGATTGGCTGGCGGCCCGGAGCGGCGCCACTGATTGGCTGGCGGCCCGGAGCGGCGCCACTGATTGGCTGGCGGCCGGGGACGCGCCGAAGTTTCAATATTTGGCGGCGGTTGCAGCGGACGGTGAGGAGGCCGGCGGCGGGCCGGGGTTGGGTCGCGGTTCGGTTCCGGAGGGTGGTGGAGGCCGCGTGCCGTGACGGGGATGGTGCTAAAGAGCCTGCGCGTGCCCCCCCCCACACTCCCCTCTCCCTGCGGCGGGGCGGGCGCCTTCCCCCACAACAACCGCCCCGCGAGGTAGGCCGGGCGCAGTGTTCCCTCTAAGCCGAGTGAGCGTGAGCCGGCACACAGGGTTTCCAGCCTCCGGCTCGCACCTTTTCTGCCTGAGCTCAGGCAGGGGGTGGGGCTCCAGAGCAAACCGATTTATGCAGCAGCCAAATCCCTCGCTCGCAGCTTTAAGGCCAGGGGCTCACAAAGTAGAACTTTTGCTCACAGGACTCCACAGCTTAGAGGGAGCAGTGTCCGTGGCAACCCCACCCAGTGTTCCCTCTAAGCTAGCTCAGAGTTCTTTAGCCTCCGGCTCAGAAACATTTTGTCTTCGCACAGGAAGGATGGCGCCAGAGCAAAGCGATTTATGCGGCTGCCAAATTGCATACTCAAGACTTTAACGCCAGGGGCTCACAAAGTAGAACGTTTGCTCACAGGACCCCACATCTCAGAGGGAGCAGTGTTCCCCCTAAGCTGAGTCACAGTGTGAGCCAGCTCGCCGTTTTTTCAGCCTCCGGCTGACACCTTTCTGCCTGAGCTCAGGGAGGACGAGGCTCCAGAGCAAACTAATTTATGCAGCAGCCCACTCGCTCGCTCACATTTCTAAGGCCAGGGGCTCACAAAGTACGGTTTCTGCTCACAGGACTCCACAGAGCAAACCGATTTATGCAGGCTCACTCACAACTTTAAGGCCAGGGGCTCACAAAGTACAACTTTTGCTCACAGGACTCCACAGCTTAGAGGGAGCAGTGTTCCCCCTAAGCTGAGTCACAGTGTGAGCTAGCTCGCAGTTCTTTAGCCTCCAGCTCACATGTTTTTGTCTCTGCTCAGGGAGGATGGGGCTCCAGAGCTCGCTCACAACTTTGATGCCAGCAGCTCACAAAGTAGAACTTTTGCTCACAGGACTCCACAGCTTAGAGGGAGCAGTGTTCCCTCTAAGCTGAGTCACAGTGTGAGCTAGCTCGCAGTTTTTTAGCCTTCAGCTCACATGTTTTTGTCTCTGCTCAGGGAGGATGGGGCTCCAGAGCAAACCAATTTATGCAGGAGCCAATTAGCTCGCTCACAACTTTAACGCCAGGGGCTCACAAAGTAGAACGTTTGCTCACAGGACTCCACAGCTTAGAGGGAGCAGTGTTCCCTCTAAGCTGAGTCACAGTGTGAGCTAGCTCGCAGCTTTTTAGCCTCCAGCTCACACATTTTTGTCTCGGCTCTGGAAGGGATGGGGCTCCAGAGCAAACTGATTTATGCAGCCAGCCAGATCACCGGCTCGCAACTTTTATGCCATAGAGCCAGAGGAGTCCGCTGTGTTCATCTGTTGCTGCAAAATAGTAAAAAGCCCAGTGGCACCTTTAAGGCTAACGAACTTTTATCGTACCCTCCATGATGCACCTGACGAGGAGAGCCGTGTTTCTCGAAAGCTTATGCTGCAATAAAGTTCGTTGAGTCTTAAAAGTGCCACTGGGCTTTCTACGACTTTTAATGCCAGTCGCTCACAAAGTAGAATTTTTGCTCGCAGGACTCCACAGCTTGGAGGGAGCATCGGGAACCAGAGCGGCACAGTGGCCAGGGGCTTATGTTTGCTGCAGGCATGGCGTCAGGAAGGCGAGAGACATTTGGAGGTGGTGTACCCTTGCCTGCCTCTGTGTAGCAAACTCTGGACTCCCTTGGGGGCCTCCCCTCCACATACTGACCAGGGCCTGCCCTGCTTAGCTTCCGAAATGTTCTGTGCTGGTTCCTATTTCACTTCCAGTGTTCCCTCTAAGCTGAGGTAGAGGTAGTATGAGCTAGCTCACAGCTTCTTAGCCTCCGGCTCACACATTTTCCTCTGAGCTCAGGAAGGATGGTGCCACAGGAAGTGGTGGTGGCTACAAGCATGGATGGCTTCAAAAGGGAATTAGATAAGCATATGGAGCAGAGGTCCATCAGTGGCTATTAGCCACAAGGTATAGATAGGGGCTCTGGGGCAAGGGATGCTCTGTCATCTTGGTGCTTGGGGGGGGGGCCAACAGTGGGAGGGGCTTCTAATGTCCTGGCCCCACTTGTGGACCTCCTGATGGCACTGGTATTTCTGGCCACTGTGTGACACAGAGTGTTGGACTGGATGGGCCTTTGGCCTGATCCAACATTGGAGTCTCTTATGTTCTTATGGCTCCAGAGCAAACTGATTTATGCAGCAACCAAATCTCTCGCTCACAACTTGAATGCCGGTAGCTCACAAGGTAGAATTTTTGCTCACAGAACTCCACATCTCAGAGGGAGCATTGGCCCAGGCCGAGCGCGCGTTCCCAGGGGTCTTGTTGTAGAAAAAGAGCTGCCGGAGCTCATTAGCATAACTCATTAGCATAACTTATTTGCATATGCCACGCCCCTGACATCACCGGAAGTGACAGAAGGCCACACACCCTGACATCACCGGAAGTGTGTCAGAAGGCCCGGCTACTTACCCTCCTGCTTCATCCTCATTCCCAAACGGAATGAGGATCGAAGCAGAGGGCGGGGTAAAGAAGGGGGCGGGGCTTCACCACGTGACCGCCCCGCCCCCTAGAGGTTCTCTTCCGGAGCTCCGTACCTGAGAGCTCCCCCCCGACTAGAGCCCTGCGCGTTCCTCCTCCTCCTCCTCCAGAAGAGCCCTGCAGGCTCCCACATGGGAGAAGGGGGGATTCGAACCTGCTGCTCTGGCACTTGGCCCTGACCTTTGGCCATGGGGGGTGTCAATGTAGGTGTCGGGGGGGGGAGGCATTTGTGAATGTCCTGCCTTCTGCAGGGGGCTCGACTAGTGATGTGAAGGCCCGGGGGAAAAAACGTTCCCCCCCCCATTTTTTTTACTGAAGCCTTTTTTGTGTTTTTCTGAAAAATTGAAAAAAAAAAGATAATTGATTATGGAATGTTTTATTTTAGCATGATGAATAATATATTTTAAGACAAGGTGTTCAAATATTTTCCAAATCATTTCATTTTCCAAATCATTTCTAAAAAATATGTATGGTATCAGATTGATCTAATTTCTGTGCACTGAGGACAAGCAAGTCCTAGGTGACAAACTGAACTCTCCGATGCAAGAACAAGATGCATTTCTTCCTTTAGGAGGGGCTGTTGTCACAAGAAAAGAAAAAGGTTTCAGTTTTGTGTTTGCATGTGGGTATTCTGTTTGTAATAATTGTTTGGATACACTGTATTTTTAATATGCTAGTTGTGATGATTTCATGCCAAGGAAAAATGTCCATAGTCATATTTTATGTTACTAAAGTAACAGAATGATTTTCAATCTGGACAAGAAAAAAGAAGTGCTAAAGTAGCATTTTTTTTCCATTTTCCCGAAAATTTCCGTTTTTTTCTGAAAAAAATGGCTTTTCCCCCAAGCTTCAAAATTTCCGGAAATTTGACATCTCTAGGCTTGACTAGATGACCCTGGAGGTCTCCCTTCCAACTCTGTGGTTCTATGACCTCGGTGGGCCAGGCCGGCCAGATCCCAGAGGCTAAGCAGAGTCGACCCTGGATAGTCCTTGGATGAGAGGCTTGCCAAGGAAGCCCAGGGTCAGTAGGCGGAGGCAGGCCGCGGTCTCTTGCCCTCACCCGGATGGCCCAGAGGCCTGAGACGCTGGAGAGATGCTGCCAGTCGGAGTGGACAAGACTAGACATGTAAAATTTTTGGAAATTTTGAAGCTCGGAAAAAAACTCATATTTTTCCCAGTTTTTTCCGGAAAAAAAATAGAAAGTTTAGGAAAAATTGAAAAAAATGCTACATTAGCATTTCTTTTGTCTTTTCTAGATTGAACGTCATTCTGTTACTTTAGGAACATAAAATATGACTATGGACATTTCTACTTGGCATGAAATTAACACAACTAGCATATTAAAAATGTAGTGTATCCAAACAATTATTACAAACAGAATACCCACCCACGTGCAAACACAAAACTGAAACCTTTTTATTTTCTTGTGACAACAGCACCTCCAAAACTATTATATTTAAACAAGAAATCTTGAAAATGTTATGTTTGTCTATCATAGACACAGGAATTATCATGATTTAATGCTGTAGAATTTTTTTTTAAAAAAAATTTTTTTTTTTTAATTTTTTTGAAAAAAACCCCAAAAAAGGGTTAGGAAAAATAACCCCCCCCCCCCCCCCCCGGAATTTTCCCGTTTTTTTTCCAGGCCGTCACATCTCTAGCCCAGAGTAGCTCAGTCTTGTCCTATCCGAGATGCTAAGAAGGGTCCGCCCTGGCCTGTGCTCGGGTAGGAGACTAGCCAGGAAGGCCACGGCTGCCACACAGAGCCAGGCAAGGGCGCGCCGTCCCCGCGTGGCCTTTTGCCCCGACCTGCATGCTCCAGGCTAGTCTGATCCTGGGAGCTGAGCAGGGCCGGCCCTGGTTGGTGTTTGGATGGGAGAGACCACCGAGGAAGCCCAGGTTCACGGCACAGAGGCAGGCAGTGGCGAACCGCCTCTCCCTGCCTTCCCCCCTCACCTGGGTGGCCCCGGCTGGCCCCCGGTCTCATCAGGTCTTGGAAGCTAGGCGGGGTGGGACCTGGTTAGGCCTTGGATGGACGGAGCATCACGGGAGACCAGGGCGGCACTGCAGAGGTAGGCAAGGGCAAACCCACCTCTGTATGGTCTCCTGACCTCACCTGGATGGCCCAGCCGGGAACCTCAGTCTTGGAAGCTAAGAAGAAGAGAGAAGAGACTGGATTTATGCCCCACCCTTCACTACCCCAAAGGAGTCCCAGGGCGGCTTACAAACTCCTCTCCCTTCCCCTCCCCACAACAGACAGACACCCCCCCTGTGAGGTGGGTGGGGCTGAGAGAGCTCTGACAGAAACGCCTCTTTTTCAAGAACAGCTCTGACCAGAACTACGGCTTGCCCAAGGTCACCCAGCCAGGTGCAAGTGGGGGAATCGAACCCGGTTCTCCCATATTAGACTCTGCATACTTAACCATTACACCAAGAGATTGGATTTCCCCATGGCCCTTCACTAACCAAAGGTGTCTCAGAGCGGCTGACAAACTCCTTTCCCTTCCCCTCCCCACAACAGACAGACACCCTGTGAAGGAGGTGGGGCTGAGAGAGCTCTTGGCAGAAATGGCTCTTTTTCAGGGACAGCTCTTGTCAGAACTACGGCTTGCCCAAGGTCATCCAGCCAGGTGCAAGTGGAGGAGGAGTGGGGGAATCGAACCCGGCTGTCCCAGATTAGAGTCCGCGCACTGAACCACCACACCAAAGCAGGGTCAGCGCTGGTTGGTATTTGAATAATAGGCCATCAGGGAAGTCCACGGTTGCTACCAGTGCTCCCTCTAAGCTGTGGGGTCTTGTCAGCAGAAATTCCACTTTGGGAGCAACTGGCATTAAACTTGTGAGCGAGTGATCTGGCTACCCCATAAATTAGTGTACTACGGAGCCCCATCCCTTCCTGAGCTGAGACAAAAATGTGTGAGCCGGAGGCTTAAAAACTGTGAGCTAGCTCACGTTAACTCAGCTTAGCGGGAACACTGGTTGCTACACAGAGGCGGGGTCTTCCAAATCCTACTCCATTGCGCTAACCACTACACCACACCAGATGCCTCCCTCCCTCCTCAAGAATTGTCTCTGGGCTGCACTTTTAATCCAAAAGGGTCGCTCTTGTTGGCCCATCCGGTGCAAGTCTGGATTTCTTTTTCTTTCTCCTAGAATTCTCAGCATGGCTCCCTCGAGGAGGAAGAACACCAGAAGCACCAATAAAAACGTCCTGAAAAACAAAAAGCTGGAGGCATTTCTGAAGGAGTTTGACAGGGAAGGTAAACTCTCCCCCCCCTCCAAAAAAAATTCCTTGAATTATGGTCTGCAAGGGAAGTGGGGTCCCTTTTGGAAGCTGGAGGTGGGTGGGGTCAGATCCTGCACTGTCAGGGGCGTAGCCTGCTCTCACCCAGGGTCTTACTGGTGTGGTGCTGTGGCTGTTTTATTGCAAATGGCTTTAAGCATTAAAAAAAACCCACCAGATATACCTATTTTTCTAGTATGTATAATTTTTCTAGTCTCGCTTTGGGAAACCTCCAGTTTGCAGAAAAATCTTAAACAGTACAGCGGTGGATCAAGATGCGGAGCCGTGTTAGTCTGTCTGCAGCAGCAGAAAAGAGCTCACCTGGAGTCCCGTGTCCAGTTTTGGGCACCACATTGTAGGACGGATGTTGACAAGCTCGAGCGTGTCCAGAAGAGGGCAACCACCAGGAGGGTGAGAGGGTTGGAATCCAAGTCTTACGAGGAAGGGCTGAAAGAGTTCAGCGAAGAAGCATCCACCACCTCCCAAGGCAGACTGTTCCACGGCTCAACCACTCTGACAGTTAGGAAATATCAGGAGAGACTTCCTGACTGTAAGAGTGGTTGAGCAGTGAAACAGTCTGCCTCAGGAGGTGGTGGATGCTCCTTAGCTGGACCGTTTTCAAGCGGAGGCTGGACGACCATCTTTCGGGTATGTTGTAGGTATGTAGGGCTATCTTTCGGCTATGCTCCTGCAGAGTGCAGGGGGTTGGACTAGATGACCTGCAAGGTGCCTTCCAACTCTAACGTTCTATGAGTCGGGTCTGTTTAGCCTGAGAAAGAGAAGGCTTAGAGGGGACAGGATTGCAGTCTTCAAGTATCTGAAGGACTGTCATGTAGAAGATGGAGCGGATCTATTCTCCCTCGCTCCGGATTGCAAGACTAGATATAACGGGTGGAAATTACAAGGGAGTCGTTACCAGCTAAATATCAGGAGAAACTTCCTGACTGTAAGGGTGGTTGAGCAGTGGAACAGTCTGCCTCAGAAGGTGGTGGAGGCTCCTTCGCTGGACATTTTCAAGCGGAGGAGGCTGGACGACCCTCTTTTGGGTACGTTGTAGGGCTGTCTTTCGGCTACGCTCCTGCAGAGTGCAGTGGGTTGGACTGGGTGACCCGCAAGGTCCCTTCCAACTCTAACGTTCCATAATTTGTGGCAGGGGATGAGCAGAAGCCAGCCGTGACTCCCAAAAGCTCCTCCCCTGCCCCCAATTTTGTTAGTCTTGAAGGTGCTCCTGGACTCTGGCTCTTTTCCACTAGTAGGGATAGGATGTAGGCTGGAAGGGGGCCAAGCTAAGTTAGTTCTCCTCCTCCTTCCCTTAGCTCCATGTCTAGTCCCACTGCTGTACTTCCCCTCCCCCCCCCCCAGGCGCCCTGGGATCCTTTGCCCGGTCGTCATCCCGCCGGGTGATCTTTGCCAACTGCAAACCAGCTGTGAGCCTCAGACCAACTGGGTGTCAAACCCTCCAAGCAGTTCTTAAGAGCAGGTGCTGGCTCCCATTTAATCTAGCGGCCTATAGCTGCCTTTTATATATATATTCCAGTCAATTAGCCAGTAATCTGAGCTAATAACAATCCTTTAGACGGCTAGACTCCTCTTGTTCATTAATTCATTAATTCAAATTTAAGTACCAAATTAGTTAATTGAAAGGTAGTGTGTGTGCATAAATAGAACCTTTAGAATGCCTAGATGTTTCGGGACTTCCTCTCAAGAAGAAATCCCATAGGGCCCCCATCCGTGGATATAAGAATCTACAGGTGGGGCCACGTTGCCTCTCAGGGATACAGGTGCTTAAATTAAACCCAGGCAAAACCGTGTCCCTGGCGTCCTTGCCAGCAGACCGAGGGATGCCACAAACGTTGAGACAGTTTCGGCAAAAAACAATCCGGAATAAGAGGGATTTCTGCGCCCTCCTCGGTAGGAATGGTCCCCAGAAGGCTGTGGGCGGTTGGAAGGCCCCCGTTTGTCCCGTGACCGCGAGAGGCCTGATTCGGTTGCCAGCGTTTCATCCCAGGCTGCCAATCCGGAGCATTCTCTCCAGAGCTGGGCCCCTTTGGCCCGTTTTCAGAGGGGGCTGACCCAACAGGCCTCTCATGCCGGCAGGACATTTGCCTTGAGATTGTCCTGTGGGGCTTCGGGGCGGGTTGGGCCTTTCGGCCCCAGGATCCGCAGAGCTGGTGGGAGCTGCTCGTGGCAGGCGTTGTCGTCTGCACGCCCCCCTTTTGCCTGTACATCTGCGGGACGAGGAGTGCCCCAAGCACAGCCCAACAGTCCCCAGCGACTCCGTGCCCCGTTCCCAGCCTGGCCTCTTTCCGCCTCCTCTGCAGTCCAGGCCCGGAAAGAGAGGATCCTGATGGAGTGCGACAGCTTCCTCAAGGAGATTGACAACATGTACAGCATGGAATTCCTCCGCCTGCCGGCAGCGCTGCAAGAGATGAACTGGCTCGAATACAGTAGGTGGGGAGGACGGGGCAGAGGGGGGCAGAGTCCCAGCTGGTGTGAGGCCAGCCGTCGCCGCCCCTGCGAGGGATGGCGGGGGCTGTTTGCTTTGGCCTGGGGGGGCCGTTTGTCACGCAGTCGCTGGGCTGGGTATGTATCTCCCAAGTCTCCGAGGCAGGAGGCAGCTTCCGGATTTGCTCCTGACGACGGTTGTGAGCTCCTTGGGACTCCCACCGTGTGCCCGGAACGAGGAGTCCGGCTGTAGAGGGGGGGGCCTCGCACCCAGGAGGCTGTTTCCGCCAGCCTCTTCTCTTCCCTTTCCCTTCCTCGGACGGCCGTGGCTCTGCTCTAACGAAGGCCTTTTGTCTCTCCAGTGCTGGGAGGAGGTGAGAAGGCCCTGGAGAAGGCAGCCATGGTAGGTAGCCCCCGAACCCCCCGCCGCTGCCATGCCGGCTGGACCAGGGAGCCGGGCTCGCTGAGCGCCGCTCTTGTGCTTGCAGGTCGATCTGGACCTCCTGGAGGTCACCAAGCGGGCAACGGAAGCCCTCCAGGCGCCTGTGAAAACCGTCTGGAAAGGTGGGTCTGCGAGAGGAGGAGCTGTGGGTAGTGGTTGGGGGGCCAGGTGGGCTCCCGTCCCCCTCAGTGCTGAAGCTCCCTGGGTGGTCTTGCCCCCGCCCCACCTCCCAGGGGTGCTGTGGGGATGCTCCCTCTAAGCCGTGGGGTCTGGTGAGCAAAAATTCTGCTTTGTGAGCTGCTGGCATTAAAGTGGGTGAGTGAGCGATTTGGTTACTGCATGAATTAGCTTGCTCTGGAGCCCTCCTTCCTGAGCCAAGACAAAAATGTGTGAGCCGGAGGCTACAAAACTGGGAGCTAGCTCACACTCACTCAGCTTAGAGGGAACACTGGGGGGGGGGACTGGGCGGGGGCTGCCGCTCTGACCTCTTTTGGGGGAAAGGACCCACAACGGCTGGGAGGGTGACGGGTCTCGTGTGCCTGCGTGTTTTGACCTCCCAGCGAAGAAGGCCAAGCAGGCGATTGAGACCATAGAAGAAGAGGACGGGCAGCCCGTCCTGCCGGTGGGGAAGCGATCCAGACAGGAGAGTGATCCTCCTAGAGCCTCGGAGTCCAGCGTCCAGAAACTGGGGAAGGTGAGAGTCCCTCTTAGAGATGTAAAGTTTCCGGAAATTTTGAAGCTCAGGAAAAACCGTGGGTTTTTTCGGGGGAGGGGGGGGACGGAAATTTTCAGAAAAATGGGGAAAAAATGCTACATTAGCGCTTCTTCTTTCTTGTCCAGATTGAAAGTCATTCTGTTACTTTAGGAACATAAAATATGACTATGGACATTTTTACTTGGCATGAAATTATCACAATTAAGCATATTAAAAATACAGTGTATCCAAACAGTTATTACAAACAGAATACCCACCCACGTGCAAAAACACAAAACTGAAACCTTTTTCATTTCCTGTGACAACAGCACCTCCTAAAGGAAGAAATGCATTTTGCTCTTTGCATTGGAGCGTTCAGTTGGTAACCTAGGACTTCCTTGTCCTCAGTGCACAGAAATTAGATCAATCTGATACCATACGTATTTTTTAGAAATGATTTGGAAAATATTTAAACACCTTGCCCTAAAATATTTTATTCAGCATGTCAAAATAAAATGTTCCGTGATCAATTTTCTTTTCTTTTTACAATTTTTCGGGGAAAAACAAAAAAGGCTTCAGGGAAAAAACAGGAAAAACATTTTTCCCCCCGAATTTTTTCCGGGGTTTTTCCAGGCCTTTATATCTCTAGTCCCTCTGCAGAGGCCCAGGAGCTCTGCTCCGCTGTCCCCCCCCCCCCCCCGCCCCCCCCACACAGGCTGTGGCGGC